ACAATGAATGAACGGAATTCCTAAATCTCTGTAGATGTTCATTGAAATGAAAAATAAAGAAATTTTTAAAAATTGATAAAGAAGGATTATAATGAGAAAATACTACATACCAATTTAAAGACCCAAGTATACCCAGAGTAGAGTTTTTAAAAGAACTCTCTTTAGTGCAGGTATTAGAGGTGAGCTTTTGTGGTAAGGTAAAGCTGATTGGATTGGTTAGGTCAAGTTAAAAATGGCTTTTCAGGAACTAGATCACTAATAGATATTAAAAGACGTATTGCAAAGGTAAAGTCCACTGTTAGGGACCTCTCGAGATCACTGAAGAGCAATGGTATCACTCTGGAGACTAAGGTGCGTCTGATACAGGCCATGATCTTTGCCATTACTTGCTATGCATCGGAGATCTGGACAACGACTAGGGATGATAGAAGGAGAATTGATGCCTTTGAGTTGTGGTGCTGGAAAAGAGTATTGAATATACCATGGACTACTAAGAAAATGAACAGGCTCATCCTGGAGAGGGTTAAACCAAGTTGCCCCTTAGAGGCAAGGCTTCTGAAGCTTCGTTTGACATACTTTGGACATATTACAAGAAGGGACCAGTCCTTGGAGAAGGACTTCATGCTTGGGAGGGTGGAGGGACAGCACAGGAGAGGAAAACCCTCTATGAGATGGATTGATTCCATGACTGGAGTAATGGGGGTAGGTGTGTCAGAGACAGTGAGATTGGCATATGATAGAGCAGGGTTTAGGGCTGTTGTACATAGGGTCACTATGAGTCACAGGTGACTTGATGGTACATAACAACAACAATAACAGAGCACTAATGGAAGTAGGAAGAAGTGATACAACCAAACATGGAGTGAAAGATTCCTGGATAACTGAGTGTGGTGTATGTTGAGCTCAGGAGTTTGCAAGCAAAAGAGTCCAGCTGTGGTCTCTGTCCAGGAGATCAACACCTCTAATACAGAGCAGGTTATTGTTGTTGTTGTTGAGTGTTATCAGGTCAGAACTGACCCATAACTGACCCTTCAGCAGTTTTTCAGAAGCAGTAAATCACACAGGATGGGCTTTTCCATCCTTCTGCAGAGCAGCTGGTGGATTTAAACCATGTGCCTTAAAGATGGTAGCACAGCTTCTTATCCCTAGGTCACCAGAGTTCCCTAATATACAGCAGGGAGCACAGCAATCATCTCTGGGCTCTGTGAGTTCCCCACGCACCAGAGGAGCATGGAAACATGAACTCCCCTGGTAGCAATCATAATTCCTGCCCTACTCTAACATAGGCTGAAATATTACTAGAAAAGAAAAGAAACAGGGAGAATAAAAGATTACTGAAAGAAACTTACATGTGGTGAAAAGGCTTGTCAGGTTCCAGTGGAGCCTCTGGGAGCCTCATCCTACTGTTTCCATGGAAAATGAGTCACGGGTAACAGAAAAGATAGACATTGAATGAGAGTCAAGTTGCAACAGCAAACACTATTGTTATTAAAATGATACTCCCGATTTTCACACTAGATCAATTAATAAACCACCAAGGACTTAAAGAGAGTAGAAAATCAGTATGCTATTAACGAAAGTTCTGATTATTGTCTTCAAATCATCTTGTTTAATTTTGTAGCTCCCCAAAGGGAAGGCTAACCATAAGTAAATTGCATCTGGCTTTTAATTGTCCACTGTTTACTCTGGGAGTGAAAAAGTCTTATTGTTGAAAATAAAATTTTACAGGATGTCACTATGCAATGTTTATCAAGGTTCAAAAAGTCATTAAAATACAGTAAGGAACACTCTTCAAAACATCAGGACCCAGGGACATTAGTTTTTCTAAGAAAAGCACTATAAATAATTTCTAAAATCTCTATTCCCTAGATAATTCGTAGAGACTAATAGAAAGTGATTCTTTAGGAATTACAGCAGCAAACTATGGGCATGGCCTCATTCCAGATTTTAATTTTTTTTTCCAGTCAATGCTTTAGGTCCATTAATGGCTATATTTTTCTCTGTTTCCATTAAACATTTTGAGGTTAAATAAATTATTGATTGTAGATGAACTATCTTCTCCTATTTATCTTTTATTTGATAACTCCCTAAAATGC